GACCTGTCCAGGTGTCTCTGTGGTGGACTAAGACCTGTCCAGGTGTCCCTGTGGTGGACTAAGACCTGTCCAGGTGTCCCTGTGACTGTGAATCTTGTTTTTTTTTAAGAAATTCTTCCAGTTCTCGTCTTTTTGTTACGTCGAGGAGAAGCAGCAACATTTTGTCCTCAGGAGCTGAACTCGTCTCTGACCTCAGAACAAACTGATCTGAGTTCAGCTGTGACGTTTAAACTTCAGCTGATCTGAGTTCAGCTGTGACGAGGCGACAGATCATTTGAATTTAAACTTCAGCTTCCATCTTCCTGCCCGATAGCGATGGCAGGACGCTGCACAGATTTGCATCGCGAAGGAGGAAAACTACCGGAGGTTAAAATCCCTGAGAGGAAAAACCGAAGTTTCTGCTGTTGGAGCTTCTTATCTTCAGCTGAAAAAAATAAAAACTAATTAAAAAAGTTCCTGTGTAAAATCTGACAACAGTTCAGCTTGTTTGAAGTTCAGTGAAAAGGTTGGGAGTCATTATCTTACCTGTTGCAGATCGCTCTTTGGACGCCTCAGTTTGAAGAAACGAGTTTATTTCTGACAGGACTGAGGAGCTAACGGCTAGTCGTAACGCAGCTAAAGCTAAAAAGGCTTTTGGCTGTTTTTGTCTTTTGTAAACGTTCAAAATACTTTAATAATGTCTATATTAAACAAACTAAATAATGTTTATTCTTCTACCTTCAAGACCAGCCGAGTGACGTCGTAAAAGCCCTTCAGTTTAGCTCAGCTGTTGCTCTTCAGTCCAATCAGAAATATCCAAAGTGAGACAAAGTATCTACAGAAAGGCTAATCGTTTCACAGAGCCCAGCTTCAAAAGATATAAAATATCACTTTAGTTCATTTAAATTAATATTTTGTTTGTGAAGTTAAAGATGACAAGTTTGTACTCTGTCGTTCGGTTTAATGTAATTCTTTAAAAAACAATCTGCATTTTTCCTACATAGGGCGTGGCCAAAGAAGGAGGGCGTGTCCTGAATGGTGGGGCGTGGTCTAATGGGTGGGAGGGGTCCAGATTAGCCTGAAGGCAAAAGGAAGCTGCTTCTGTCGGACGTTAAATGTTTTCAGCTCAGACGTTTCTGTTAATTCAGCTCGTTTCGTCTCCTGGACCTTTAATTTGACGCCAGAACCGAAGGTGTCGTTTTCTGCTGCAGGGCGGAGACGACACGAAACAAAGAGTTTGGCTAACAGCAAACAGATGGAGGGGAACCATCTGAAGTACGAGTCTACGGGCAGCGGTCTGTTCGTTTCTCTTCAAATAAATCTGTTTTATTTCAGCCGGAGGAATAAAACGTTCACACTGCAAATAAAACTCGGAACAACGATTCATAGTTTTAAAACTAAACCATCCGCGACTCAACACAACACGACTACTTCAAACCTAAAAAGATGAATGAAAATGTCTTTTAATCATTATAACAAAGTTGATTATTTTAAAACTAAGTATTTGTTAAGAGCTGTTTGATAAAGTTTAGTAAGTTTTTTAATTCGATGCAAAATAAAAACGGGTCAGTTTCATCGTAAAGACGACTGGAGAAACTAAAGGTCAGATTCAAGAGGAGGACGATGATGAAGAGCTCGTTTCACGGTTAAACTGGGCATTCGATAAAATCATCCAATTACCGGATGATCCGGTGTTTTACGCTCCGGCTCATGACGTTTGTGGTTTCAGTCTAAAACACGTCTGAAGCGTTTAAACATCACGTTCTGCAGATTCACATCAGTTATTTACACGAAGCACTTTGAAGCACGAACAGCAGCAGCAGCTGGCTGCATCACTTCCTGTTCACTTGGGAACCTCCAGTCGGAACACGAGGAACATTTTTTATGCAGCGACTCTTTAAAGTTCGTAACGCGGCCGTCACTGTTCAGGACTGGAGCAGGTTTTGGGTTGGAAGTGACCCACTTCGGTCCCGGTCCGGTTCAGACCAGATGTTGAGGGCTGTGACGTTGGAGACTTCAGGAAAATCTTCTTTATTTGTTGCAGTCGCATCAAATGTTTGTGAACAGCAAGCTGCGCAGCCACCATCTGAGATCCTGATGTTTGAACGTCTCATTGGCCGTTTAGTTTCTGTTCAGTTCAGATCTCATCTGCTGGTCCAGGTCTTCAGAATCCAAGACCTGGACCAGGTTTTAGTAGTTAATCCTAATCACCAGCATGGTGAAAAAACAACCGTCCAGAGAACCTTCCAAGACCCCCTCATGGATTCTGGATCAAACCTCCGTACGGCTTTTTGGAGAATTCACTAAAATCTTAGTTTTTTTTTTATTTATTTAAAGTTAAACGAAATGAACGTGGAGGTGCAAGATGGCCGCAATTCGATGAGCTGCGTTCTGCCAGGCTCCCGTCTGTGTTTGGTGCCGTGTGTAAAGTTACAGTCAAAAATTAACAGCAGTATTTTGGTTTATTTCACCTTTAATCTGGGGACTTGGGGGGCAGCAGCACAGTCTAGAAAGGGTCAAACGCTGAACCTTTGTCCTGCAGGTGCGTTCCCGCCACAACACACCTGATTCAAATTGATAAATTAGCTCCTCAGCACCTCGTCAACACTCAGCCCTGTTCACTTAAATCAGATGTAGTAAAGCTATAAACACGTATGGAGACTAAAGAATGGTTCATCCAGGCCTCTGACGGATCATCTTCCTGTTTTTAATAGATGTCCATCTGATGATGTCCATCAGATGGAGTCCATCAGATGATGTCCATCAGATGGAGTCCATCAGATTATGTCCATCTGATGATGTCCATCAGATGATGTCCATCAGATGGAGTCCATCAGATGATGTCCATCAGATGATGTCCATCAGATGGAGTCCATCAGATGATGTCCATCAGATGATGTCCATCAGATGATGTCCATCAGATGGAGTCCATCAGATGATGTCCATCACATGGAGTCCATCAGATGATGTCCATCAGATGGAGTCCATCAGATGATGTCCATCACATGGAGTCCATCAGATGATGTCCATCAGATGATGTCCATCAGATGGAGACAGTTTTCTACCAGCGTGGTTGAGATCCTCTCACAAGTGTGACAGTAAAATAAAGGACTGTACGTTCAGTAAGTGGTCTGTCATATAAATATGTCACAATGTTCAGGCACAGGCTCAGAAATCAGCCATTTATTCAGCGAAGAGTTAAAATAAACGAGTTCATAACGCGTCAAAGTGACGACATGTTTCATGTTCTGTTGTTCATCCGTCCACTCGGACGACGCAACGCGTTTTCTTTTTGTTCAGGGTTTTGTTTTTTGACCTGAAGGTCTTTAAATGTTAACGAGAATCTGACTGAAGACTCCGGTTTTTACCGGAGTGTTGAAAGATGGAAGGCAGGTTTAACTGCAGCTTTGTGGTTTTGTTTTCCCTCCAACCACGGCCGGCTGCTTCCTTTAAACCAAACCACATGATGGACACACACACACCGACACACACCATAAAACAAGACAGGTGGTGGGAGAAGAAGCAGCACTTCTCAGTTTCAGGGGTTGAATTTATAACTGAAGAGCGAGAACTGGTTGATTATTTAATTTCATGACAAATTGACAAAAAAACTCAAGATCACTTCTACAGCTGCGCTGCTTCCTCCTACAAACCAAAAACATCCAGGTGTCCCCGTGATGGACTACCTGTCCAGGTGTCCCCGCGATGGACTACCTGTCCAGGTGTCCCCGTGATGGACTACCTGTCCAGGTGACCCCGCGATGGACTACCTGTCCAGGTGTCCCCGTCTCTCACACAGGGACACCAGCTCCCTGCGACCCTGAGAGACGCAGGTGAATAGATCAACTTATCGTCTCCTGTGAGACAGTTCTTACCACAACTTTAAACGACTTCTCAGTGACTTAAGTAGCTCAACATGTGTACTGACGTCACTATAGATCACGATATACTTGTTTCTACAGTAGTACAGAACGGCAAAGGTCTACAATTCTACGTCACTGTGTACGCACGTATGTACAGTAGTCCCTCGTTACTTTGCGGTTCGAATTTTGCTTTTTCAAAGTAAAATTGGACCTGGCACACAATTGGCTGATTGATGGATGAGCCACACGAGCGGAATGGATGTTTTATTTAAAATAAATTATTTTAAATGATTCAGCACATGATGCACCTGTGTGCCGACAGGTGTAGTCTCTCCAATGTGTCCTGGGTCTTCCCCGAGGTCTCCTCCCAGTCAGACATGCCAGGGAGCATCCTTACCATAGGTGAGGGTAGGAACATAGACCGACCGGTAAACAGAGAGCTTTGCTTTGCAGCTCAGCTCCCTTTCCACCACAACGGACCGGCACAGTGTCTGCAACACTGCAGACACTGCATCAATCCATCTGTCAACCTCACCCTCGACCAAAAGAGAGTAAACCGCACTTTTCTGACCGAGGACCATGGCCTCAGATTTGGAGGTGCCGATTCTCATCCCAGCCGCTTCACACTCGGCTGCGAACTGCTCCAGTGAGAGCTGAAGATCACGGCACAATGATACCAAATGGACCACATCATCTGCAAAGAGCAGAGATGAATCACGAGGCCACCGAACCAGAATCCCTCCATCCACTGGCTGCACCGAGAAATTCTGTCCATAAAAGTTATGAACAGAATCTGTGACAACGAGCAGCCCTGGCAGAGTCCAACTCCCATCCTGAAGGGTCCGACTTACTACCCGCAATGCGAACCAAACTCTCGCACCACTTATGTAGGGACAGAACAGTCCGTAGCAACGAGCCCCCAATCCAATACTCGCGGAGCACCCCCCACAGTGTACCTTGAGGAACACGGTCAAAAGCTTTCTCCAAGTCCACAAAACACATGTAGACTGGATGGGAAAACTCCCATGACCCCTCAAAGGCCCTAGTGAGGATAACAAGATGATCCAGTGTTCCACGGCCAGGACGGAACCCACATTGTTCCTCCTTGATCTGAGGTTCGACCAAAAATCATACTTGCTTCTCCAGTACCCCTGAATAGATCTTACCAGGGAGGCTGAGGAGAGTGATGCCCCATAGTTGGAGCACACCCTCCGGTCTCCTTTTGAAGAGGGGAACCACCACCCTAGTCTGCCAATCTAGTGGCACTGTCCCCGATGTCCATGCTTTGTTGCAAAGGCCAAGACAGCCCCACGACATCCACAGGCTAAAGGAAATCAGAGTGAATCTTATCCACTCCCCGAGACCTGCTGCCACAGAGCTTTTTTAACTACATCGGTGACCTCAGCCACAGTTATGGACAGTCCAACTCCGAAGTCCCCTGACTCAGCTTCCTCCATGTAAGATGTGCCGGTGGGATTGAGAAGGTCCAAGAAATATTCCTTCCACCTCTCGACGATATCAATGGTTGAGGTCAACAGCACCCACCTTCACTGAACATAGTGTTAGTAAAGAGCTGCTTTCCCCTCCTCAGCCACCTCATGGGTTGCCAGAATCTCCTCGGAGCTGACTGAGTCTTTTTCCAAGGCCTCACCGAACTCCCCTCCCACATCGAGTTTTTGCCTCAGCAACAGTCAAGGCTGCGAACCGTTTGGCCCTCTGGTACTCCTCAGCTGCCTCTGGAGTCCCATCAGCCAACAAGGACTGATAGGACTCCTTCAGCTCGACAGCCTCCCTAACCCAGAGTTTCCACCACAGAGTTTGAGGATAGTCATTGCAAGAAGCACCAACAACCTGGCGGCCACAGCTCCAGACAGCTACTTCAACAACTGAGGTGCGGAACATGGCCCATTTGGACTCAATATCCCCCATCTCAGCTGGGATGTGGTTAAAGCTCTCCCAAGTGGAAGCTGAAGATCTCTCTGACGGGTTCTTCTACCAGGCATTCCCAGCAAACCCTCACTACGCGTTTGGGTCTACCGGGTCTGTTCGGCATCTTCCCCTGCCATCTGATCTAACTCACTACCAGGTGGTGATCAGCTGACAGCTCAGCTCCTCTCTTCATCCGAGTGTCCAAAACAAATGGCCGCAAATCAGATGACATGACTAGAAAGTCAATCATGGATCTACGACCTAGGGCGTCTTGGTGCCAAGTGCAGTTATGGACACCCTTATATTCGAACATGGCGTTTGTGATAGACAAACTGGGACTAGCACAGAAGTCCAACAATAGAACACCGCTCGAGGTCAGATCAGAGAGGCTGTTCCTCCCAGTCATGCCCCTTCAGGTCACATTACCCGTGTGTGCATTTTAGTCCCCCAGCAGAATAAAGGAGTCCCCAGCTGGCACACTTTCCAGCACCCCCACCAAGGAATGCAAGAAGGCCGGATACTCTGAACCGCGCAGTCAGGAGAGGCCGGTGAGGCACTGCCTCTCCTGACATCGTGACCAGTGAAATACTGGCAACAATAAGAGAAATTTGACCACTTGACTGTTCTATAAAAGTGTTTTGTTGTTTCAACACTTCAATGGTCAAAATAGCGAAATTTACACATTGCCTGTTCAAACAAAGCAGGTGAGGCCTACAACCAATCTGCCTTGGCAGACCCTCCCAGGGGCCATTAATATTACCTCGGACAGCAGAGCTCCTAGGATCATTCAGGTGCACAAACTCCTCCACCATGATAAGGAGGCGATTCAAGGAGAATATACTGTATTTTTTAACTATTAGTGTTTTACGTACATCTTAAATCTTTTAGCGTACCATTTAGCGTTCCTTTGGCGTACATCTTCGTGTACTGCATATCTTAGATCCTTAGTTTCTTTTTATACAGTACTTGCACAACGTGATGCGAAAGACAATAGATACTTGAACTTGTAGCGATGTCGCAGTGCAACGTACGCATGTAGCGAGGTCACTTCGTACAACGGTCGTACGCACGTCCCTAGCTGAACCACGTGACGAACTGTTCAAAGGCGTTCTTTAACTGCTTTTTGACAGAAGTGTGCCCCATAAGATCTGGTTCTCTTTAAAATCTGACAAATACCTTCGCTGATCGAGATTCCTTATCTTTTCATTCAGCTGCACTTGTGCGAAACTCCCAGAGAATTTTTCTTTCAAAAACAGATTCAAACAAAAAATGAGTTCAAGTATTTTATTCAATCCTCAGAAACTCAGTTTTAATGAAAAAATAAAGAGTTAAAAGTTAAATATTTATTTTAAAACTATAGACTCCTACAGATACACACATCAACAAATAAAATAACGGTAAACGATTTTCGGTCCTCCCTCCGACAGAACCCTCGACGTCGGTTTGTCCTGAGCCGTCTGAACTTTGAACGAGACAAACGGCCACGGAACCATGAAACCAGTCAAAACCACCAAAGACCCTGCCATGTTCTGATCCGAGGACCAAAACAGTTTGGGATCAAACTGATCTGAAGTAGCCGCTCTGCTATGACCCGATCTGGTTCAGGTAGTGGGTCCGTGTAAGGTCTTCAGTCATTTCAGGATCATGTTTTTCAGCATAAAGGAAAATGTTTTTTGATTTGTCAGTAAATGCGACTGTTCTCGACTAAACGATGAAACTGAAAAGTCCTTCAAACGTTTGGTGCGTTGTTTCCAAGGCTTTCATCACCTCACGGTAGAAGTACTGCCCTCTGGTGGTCTGGAGGGTAAAAACCCACCACGTTGAAATCCCATTATAAATTCAGCTTTGATTCCATATTCATGCAATAAAATAATGCATTCCTTTGTTTTTATATTGGCCCACAGGGCGATGATGTTCCTCTTTTTACATTTGAGAGATTCTGTAAAAACCCACTGACGGGGAAGAAACGTACCTGGACAGGTAACGGCACTGTGCGCGTGCAGGTGAAGAACTGGACTCTCCGGGGCAGGATCCTGCTGGCTCCACCCAAAACATGCATGGACCGGACCGCAGCAGCTCCGTGGTCACGATCAGTAAAAATAACAAACACACTGACGTTGTTTTAATTAAAATATATATATTTAAAATAATTAAATAAAAACTAATTCTACGCTTCTGACCAATGGTTCGTGGAAGTTTGACCCAAAACGAAGTTGTTTTAGCTACGGACGACGACAACAATTTTAGGCAAGCTGAGGGGCAAAAAGCCCCCCACCCTCCAAAAGTGTCCATTACATAAACATTTTGTCGACCTTTTAATAAAAATTATTTACTTATTTATTTTTTAGATAAAGGCTCTTAAGGAACTAAATTAAAATAAACTTAACATTTTTATTTCAGGCAGCGATCGCTCTAAAAACACGGTTTTGATTTTTAGGTCGATTTGTGAAATCGTCGATTTACCCCTCAGGAACAGTTTTTGGAAAAGAAGCTTCTGAGGATTAGCTAAAGGATCACCACATGCTAAAAGTAGCTAAATGTTAGCTAGTAGCTAAAATAAGCACAAGAATAGCTTAAAGTAGCTAAAGGCTTGAAATGACGACGCAGATTTTTCTGGCAGGAACTGAAGTTTTGAATTTCTTCTTGTTTTTTATTGAGAATATTTTCTATCCTTTGCTTTTGGAACCGGAGCAACGCTCTGAAAACTGAAGTGATCCGATGGAACCGATGGATCAGAACCGGTCCTCTGAACAGGTGCACCTGGGTCCAGGTGAGAACAGATTCAAACTGATGGAAACAAAGACATTTATTCGATCGTTCAGCCGTTTGAAGGAAAACAAAGATTGAACTTTAGAAACGTCCTGGTTCTGCGGCCCGACCCGAACATTAATCAAAAAGGTTCTTCAGTTTCAGGAGTTTCTGCTCTGCCAGGAAGTAAATGTTGAAGCTAAAGATGATATCAGAACCGGTCGGCCCGTTTCAGGAGGATGAACCGGGTCGTTCACGAGCCTTTGATCTGCGTCAGAGTCCACAGGTCCTGCACTCAGTCGGTCCGTCGTCCCGTCACTCAGAACCACACAGGCCGTCTTTGTTCCAGATGATTTCCATCGTGTCCTCGTCCAACGTGGACAAGCCCGGTTTCTGAGTGTCGGATCGCTGACAGAGGGGGGAGGATGGGGGGAGGACAAAGAGTTCATTCTTTGCCAGTGGTGAGGAGTTTCAGGGCCTTCTGGAGGTTCTGGACGGCCGTGCCGACGTCCTCGTACTGCAGAGCGCTGCCCGCGTACTTACAGAACTTCTGGGCCCGGGTGAAGTCCTCAGGGGTGAGCTGGACGCCGCCTGGAGGGGGAGGGAGGAGGAGGGAGGGAGGGGGAGGAGATAGGACATTAATTAAACTAATCTGATCTGATCAGTCACAGCAAAGCTAAAAAAGTTATGATTAACGACTTACAATCAGCTGAAGATCAGGTTATAAGTAGCCGAAGAACAACCTGACAAACAGCTAAAAACAAGCTGACAAACAGCTGAAAACAAGCTGACAGCTAAAAACAAGCTGACAAACAGCTAAAAACAAGCTGACAGCTAAAAACAAGCTGACAGCTGAAAACAAGCTGACAAACAGCTGAAAACAAGCTCACAAACAGCTGAAAACAAGCTGACAACAGCTAAAAACAAGCTGACAAACAGCTAAAAACAAGCTGACAAACAGCTGAAAACAAGCTGACAAACAGCT